ATTAGTATCGTAAACATCCCGAATTGAAATTTGCGAATTTTCCCTGTAACAAAAAAACAAAAACAAACAAACAAACAAGCAAAAAAAAAAAAAAACAAGAAAAAGAAAAAGAAAAAAAAACCGTGTGTTTATTAATAAATTTTGCTATGAATAGAATTTAAACTAAGAAAAAATATGTTTATTTTTGTTTCTAAAATTCAAACATGTATCAATCTTCGAAATTGAATAGAAAATTTCATTAAATTGTTACGTCTTTGCAATTGGTTAATTATTTTATGTTATTAAGAATCTATAAAGAAACAAAATTAAATACTAGAAATTTTAATTAGTTTTTTTAATCTTCATATTATATGCAAAGTGTAATAAATGTTGAACTCAGACTGTTTAAGTTTCGATGAACGATTTTCAGCATTCATTTGAAAAAAAAGATGTACATCTTTTAAAAAATGTACATCTTCATATTGTTTATTAATTAATTTCGATTTATTATATATAAAATGTACAGGCTTTTTTTTGTCAAATTACCGGTGTGTGTAGCATTTGCAGTTACATGTAGTGTGCACGGGAATTTAAATTTTCTTTATCCAAGATATCAAGAAAAAGTTCTATTCTGCTTTATTTCTCATCGTCTATGTTCTGTTCCCAAATTAAGTTAATTTAATTAATTAATTTTCTCTAATGTATTTCCCTCTTTTATATAAATGTGCAGGCATTTTTCTCAAATTGTCAAATGACCGGAAAGCATTCGATGACGAGAGTTAACTTTGAGCACGTGAACTTTATACAATAGATCAAGAAAAAATATCGTTTTTCACCTTCACATTAACATGATTAACATGTTTTACTTTTTAATACAATGTCTTTCTTTTTAATTTTAATATTTCTATTTTTGTTCAATAGATAAATAGAATTTGTAATGATAAACACAACAAAATATAGTTTATATTAATAAATATTCAATGCAGAAATTCATATATTTTTGTTTTCTTTGACAAAATCTGTTTCTTTGTGTATTAAGTATTAGCTGCGATCATTTCCTGTGTATAGGGATTAGCAGTGCCTGAGCAGGAAACGACATGCCCTGGGGGTTTCACACCTGTCTTATAAGATTAGAACGCCCGCTGGATGTGCACATCGGTTAGCCATTCAACAACACATTTGATTCATTGTTTCATTATTATTTCATCGATATCATTTTCAGATGCGATATTAGCCTTGGAATTTTGTCAAATTATACGGAGTGTATAAAAAGAATAAAAGTAAAAAAAAAAAAATTTAAAACAAATTAATGAAGTATTTGATATTAATTAAATCAAATAGTGATCCATTACTATGTTATTTCGTGTCTGTTTATATCTGTACCAGTAAGAAGATTGAAAGAGAGAGAGAGAGAGAGAGGAGAGAGAGAGAGAGAGAAGAAAAATAGCACAATATTAAAGCCATATATGGCGTAACTGATCAAAAAAATATATTTTTGAAAAATACAAAATTAGGTGTGTTACATTTTTACTTTTAATACAACTTTAAGTCCTCGTTTCATCTAATAATACGATTTTATCTTCTCTTTAATGTGTTATTTAAATCTTTTGTATTTTCTTAATGGTGATCCAAATTAAATTTTGATATCTTTATAACGCAATTGATTTAGATTTTGTAATTTACGGGAAAGTTCTATCTTTATATAAAGTAATGATGCAAATAATAAGTTCTTGTAATTTTAGTCCAATAATTTTCATTGTACATACGCCATATATGGCTTTAAGGCACGTGCATGATCGTTTTTCCTCCTTTTTGATCAGTATATCAATTTCTTAAGTCTAGCGAATAAAATAACCGGTGATTTATCAGTTTATTGACCATTTGTCGAATAAGTTTTATTGTTATTTCGAGAATTTAAATTCGTTTAAAATTTTTGTGAGAAGAAAAGATTTTGGTGGTAAAATAAAAATTTTTGTTATAAAATTTGATTAAGAAAAACACAGTATATTAAAATTGTCAAATTTTTAAATATTTATTTGAAACAAAAAAGTTAAAAAGTACTTGTATACAAAAACACTTTATTTCATGCATTTCAATTTAAATACACATAAAAAAAATTACGTTTTCTCTCATCAATACACTCAGTAACATCCTGTGTATATCATTTCATACAGCGTCGTTCCCTCGGGGCTTCTCTGGGTGCTCCACTCCACACCAAACTTATACCTGAGGAAAACAACGGTTACACAGACGTCTGAAAACTTGAAGCATGGCAACTTGCTGATTAAAATAAGTTAATTTCTGTGTTGTGTGTTCAAATATTTTAAACCATATTTATGTTTGTGTTTTATTTGAACCGGAAAAAAAATTTGTTTATATTCATAAACATGATTTTATAAAAAAAATATAAATACATTCAAATACTAGCTATGATCTTATTGATATTCAAAAATACCTGTGATTATTTTATTAACAAGAACCCCCCCCCCCCCCACCCCTCCACACACACAAATCGTCGATATTTAGTTCATAGTCTTACAGTGTGGCGCATAATAATGGAGCAACGGTATTCCTACACTTAGGCGTGTTTTGTTAAAATTTAATTGTACATGTAATTATGTATCACTATCTATCATCGTTTTTCATGCTATTATTTATAACAGACATGTATACAGACATGTATACAGAGGTAACGGTACTTTTCTAAATGAAACCAAATGACTGATATAATCTTGCAGATAAATAAACACATAGCTACATGTAACTATAAATTGTGAACACCGGATTACAGTGCATATAAAGAGAAGCGATATCATGGCATTCTTTAAATTTTAATTATACCTTTTTAGCAATTTGAAGATCATTTGGGGTGGCATTATTGATTTTGAAAATAAACTTTAATTTAATATATTCAATAAATTATTCGACTTTATTTCATCCTACACTGTACATGTATTACTGTTAACAGACGGTTTTGAGAATTCATTAATTTTGAGCAACCATTGGTAAAAAAAAAAAAAAAAAGAAAAGAAAGATGCTTTTTATTAAACAATTTGATAAAACTTAAAAATGAATTTTTAAAGAATCCATGTATTGGTATATATTAATGTGGTCGTAATCGCCCCCCCCCCTCATTTCGACACGATTAAAAATCGACAATACTTTACAGGTAAGAGGTAAGAACATCTTAGCTGAAGAATAACGGTAGCGGGCCCCGCCGCGGTAAAAAAAACGGTTTTCTCTCAAAACCCGCGACGGTGTAACGCGGAAAGGATTAATACATCGCGGAGGGAACGCGGTCTAATACGGGATCCGCGTTGCCTGTACTGTATCTAAGTGTATTCTACTTGTGCGCCAAGTTATATAGAAATCAGACAAAAATTGTAGGAGAGGTAGCATTTTGAAAGTATTTCAAAGAAATTTCTATTTTTAGTAACCATGGCAACACCGTTCATCGAAACAAACACCGAGAAAGAGAATTATGCATGCACTATAGTATTTTAATGTAGTCTTGTTGCGTGCCAATTACATGTAAGTTATACTGAAATTAGACCAAAACTGTGAGAGGAGTAGCATTTTGAAAAATTGTTTCCAGACAGACAGATAGACGGACGGACGACGGACACCTTACTATCACAAACTCTTCAGGTCTCTGACCAGCAGAGCTAAAAAAAAAGAGAGAGAACGAGACTCTACAGGACCTGACAATGTTCGCACCGCTTATCATGGCCCTACTGCTTGTGAGAGAAAGATTTTTTTTATGTAAAAACTAAGATTCTGGTCCCTCATATCCCTGGGTGCTACTAGAATCTGAAACACCTGAGGACATTTGCATATTGATACCACCAAACAAAACTTTGTCATATTGAGACAATTTTTCTGAATCTTCCTATTAAAACTTTATATAAGGGCCATTCACTGTCCAAGGTGGTCGATCCGAAACATCTGACTTTTCCAGGCCTTTTTAACGATTTTTATACAAAACATTTCTTATACCACTGTCTCTCAACACTCTTTGCGCCTTATACGTTTATATCATAGAAAACTATATCCTTACTTACCGTAAAGGTTGCAGAAACTTTGTTACCAAGACCAGTATGCTCTGTGTTCTCAAAAACACAACCCGCAGTCAATACAATGAAATCTTTGGCATTATTTTGGCAACAACTAATAGACATAAATTAAGAGATGTCAGGCAATAATCTTTTTATTCGGATCTCAGTGAATGAAGTGACGGGAATACCGACAAATCTTTGATGATAAAGTCCCCCCTAATCAGTGTAATACCTCATTTCTATAGACCTTTTTCAATGACAGCGATAGTTTTGTGTGAACATTCCTGGTGCCTTGGTTAGAGGGGATCTTCTGCGCTATGGAAACTAGCGTACCGCTACCTGAAGGTTCCCTTAAAGGAATTTATCAATTGCCACATGTGCAAATCACAAAGTCTGGTTCAGTGTCTATTGAAACTTTCTCTAATTGTGTATTTAATTTTGTCCAATCAGACCAATTTCTGCAATATCAGAAAGCAAGTACGTTTGATAACGATTGTAAACTTATCTTTTCAATTTATTTTAGCTCCGCCATTTATAGAAAGCAGGCAGCTACGGGATAAAAAATGGTTTCTTGCATTTCCACAAAAAGAATGAGCTACTCTGCCTTTCAGTTACAATAAAGACGTCAAATTCTATAAAAATTTACTCATTTGAGCCATTCAGATGTTTTAAAACATGTGCAAATACGTAAGATTGTGGGATTTCCCATCTCCTAAAGAATTATTTAAACTTTTTTTCAGGTATTTTGAAGGAAATATAAATTCATAAACTCATTCAAACAGCTTGCATAAAACTACATTAGATTATACTTCATTAAAATGTCCAATTCAACATTCTTACATTTCTAACAAAAACTGTTGCTCAATAACAGACAATTGATGTTATAGTATTTTGCAGATTTTTTCCTAGCATATCAACAGAATCTTACCAATTCATTTATGGAGATAAAGTATAACAATAATGAAATCACCAATCCATTTTATTATTATTGTTGAAATGCAAATAATAAAAGTTTATCACTATCAACTGTCTGAAAAATGTAGCTTATGATAATTCACACTGTCAATATCACGGTCTTTTTCTGCTTCTGTTAACAGTACCTACAAACAGAAAATAAGGAAACTTGAATACCTAAAACTTTTAAATGCACATTAAGTTTTTGAAATATAAGAATATCATATGTGGCAGAGGACTTCAAATTCTATTAATATATATTCATTTTAGTGCACTCAGAAGTTTTGACACATGCAAATTTGTGAAGTTGTGGGATTTCTATCTCCTAAAAAACGTCTTTAAATGTACAATGAGTTTCTAAAATATCAGAATATCCTATGCGGCAGAGTAAGTTTGATATACATGTACATGTATAATAATGAATTAGAGATACTTTGGGCAGTGAGCTCACAAAATGATATTCCTGTCTCCCATATATGGCAAAGTCCATGTTTTGCTCAAGGAAGCTCGAAAATAAGTGCCAGATCAAAAAGTGAAATAGGAGGTCACAATGGCATTATGCAATTGAGAATCTGTGAAAGTATCATTAAATTTTATTCAGGGAAAGAGATGGATACAATACAATATTATAGAAAACATAGGTAATGAAAGATTACGAAGCTCACCTCGACAAATGTTATCAGTACAAGTAAAGCAATCTCACATCCTATTTTCTTAACAGTTAGTACTTATCTTGACAACAATATTCAAGCAAGTTCTGTTTCAATAGGTCCTAAAGTTCACTGGGAATTGACCTGTTCCAAAAACTAGGTCAGATCCAGCATCTAAAGCAAGTCTGGTAGTGTCCATCCCTAGATGCATCATCCATGCAAGTTTGGTCTGGGTAGGGCTTATAGTTACTTGGGAATGGACCTGCTCCAAAATGTAGGTCAGATGCAGCATTCAAAGCAAGTCTGGTAGTGTCCATCCCTAGACGCATCATCCATGCAAGTTTGGTCCGGGTAGGGCTTATAATTACTTGGGAATGGACCAGCTCCAAAAACTTTAACCTGGTCACTCATCTGGAAAATGTAGGTCACATCCAGCATCTGAAGCAAGTCTGGTAGTGTCCATCCCTAGATGCATCATCAGTGCAAGTATGGTCTGGGTAGGGCTTATAGTTACTTGGGAATGGACCTGCTCCTAAAACTTTAACAAGGACGCTGACGCCGAGGGTATAGCATAAGCTCATCTCAACTTCGTCGAGGTGAGCTAATCATCTCGACTTTGTCAAGGTGAGATAAAGATGGCCCTCTGGGAAACCCAAAATATGTGTCCAAACAAAAAGTAAACTAGAACTGTCCATTAGGGACAAATACCCCCGCTGTGTTTTTTCAGAGTAGGTGCTAATTCACAAATATTTTATGGATCTATTAAGAGGTGTTCACTATTGTCTTAAAACAAATCGAGTGAAAATATAATTGTGGTGAAAATATAATTGCATGCTCATTAATTTTTTTCAATTTATGAATCTGAGGTGCAACCAAATAAAACATCAATACTATAAATACACTGTAATAGTTTTTTTTTTAAATTTCATTAAAAAAAGAAATTGCAATTATTTGTCATGCTACTCTGAAAAATAATTGTTGAAAAAAGAAATATACAGAATCAAATTAATCTTTATAACTTTATATCAAATTCACTTTAAAAATAATAAAGTGCCCAACACAGCATGATACTCCAGTCAAATATTGTTCATTCAATTAATATAAACAGTTTAGAGTGTGAAATTGGCAATATATATTCCTTTTGATATTTGTTTAAACATCTCCTGTGGTGTAAGCATTAATTATAACAAATAATCATCAAATGGTTGCATTATAGCTTGACAAATGCTCCTCCCCCACAAACAAACACATATGCATATATTTTTCATGTGGGACATGATGCTCTGAAATTTGTTACTTGATATTTTAATTTTTTTTTAAATATATCAATTTAACTAATTAGTATTAAAAACTTAATCTATAACAAATTGATTTTAGAAATAGAAGGCTGGCCATCAAATGACATATGCTATTTAAACTGACCAGCAGTTCCTCTGTTTAATTCCCAAAGGACCTTATAATCAGAGATAACAGCTAACAGAAATGATTGAGACAGCTATCTTTCCTACATTGAACTCATTAATTAATCTTTGACTGGATGCATGTCCACTGATAAATGCCAAGGGATGCAATTTTCTGTTGCTTGATATACTTGGGAGATGATTATCTCTTATAAAATAACATTTGTTAAGGATTGCTGTAAAGTATTTAATGAAAAAATATTATTTTCTTAATTTAACATTTTTTAAACAGGGATACAGAAACACTCTTACATTTTTGGGATTGTGTAATTCAATAGTAAAAGACAGGTTTCTTTTTAAAATTTCACTTAAATTGAAGGTCACGGTGACCTTAAAATAGGTTGTGACACACCTTCTACCCAAGATGCATAAACTGTCCAAGTTTGATGATTGTCAGTCTAATAGTTTTCTAGTTACGAGCCAAACAAAACCATAAAATAAAAAAGAAAAAACACCTGTAAAAAGAAAAATTGTCATGATGAAAAAAGTGCACAACTTCATATGGTGAATAATAAGTGTACACAATGGCATCCAATAGTTTCTATGCTGGACAAAATCTTGTCTACAGACAGACAGTGTGACAGACAGACGGACATGCTGATTCCAATATACCCCCCTAAACTTCGTTTGCGGGGGTATAAATAAGAGGTGCACAATAGCACTTTGTAACAAAGATTCTGTGAAAGTCTCATTAAATTTTAATGATTGAATGGTATAAGTGGAGTTGCAGATAAAAGATGGGTACCCCAAAGCACAAGAGACAGATATATACAGATGGATGGACAGACATCTTACTTGCATTATGCACTTATCAATCTTCAACATATATTGTGGGTATTCTTACTGGCCAAAGACTTTGGTGTTAATTCAACCTGACATGACAACTGTAATTAACCTGTCAGCAGAGACTGTAATTACATGTAGTCAAAAGAAACTGTCAGATATATTACTACATTTGTGTCAAAATTCAGTTCCCAGTGTTTGTGAAGGATTTCATCAGGTTACAAAAACAAACTAAAATACAGGTATAAATCTATAATATACAGTTATGGACTTCAGTGTAGGTCAATGTGTGGTTAAAGATTCTGTGAAAGACACACAGTCTGAGGTCAATATCAATTGCCTGTCCTTATAACCACATGACTGTTCACCAGTCCATAATGTTATATTATATAATCACTCAAATTGAATGCACTGACACAGTCCTAACTGAAAGGTTAATTATGTCACAATGGTTAAATTCATGCTTCTTACATTATGACTTCACGTACTACGTAACTTTGGTGCAACCGAACTGCGTGTCGTGGGATATCATTTTCCGCGGATGCGCTTTCCCATCGATATCACAAAAATAGGAATATCATGTGAGGTACTTTCAACCAATGAAAACTATGAAAACAATCTTCTTATACAATATTCTACATTAGTACATAATTGGACATAATTTTACCCAGTTTTGTACCTGAATGAGTTCCCTTTCTTTCTCGGCATTGTCTTTGAGGATGTGTAGGAGGCACCTCCTAGTGATGGACCTGACCAGTGGTGACCTATGGTCAAGCTCTGTCCTTACCAGGACATCTACCAGCCGGTGTTTGGCCAGTCTGTAGTTACAACAATTATAATTATCTCTCGGAAATTATGCTTTTCTAGATATAAAAGCAAAAATCAATGATGTGGACAAACAAAATCAGCATTACATGAAGTGTTTAAAACATCAGAATTTTAAGACAGTAATATACTCTTAAATTCACTTGATCTACAATGTTCACTCCTCAGTTTGCTTTTAAGGAACAATATAAAAAGAACACGCCCTAGATTCTTTTTGATCAGCACAAGAGGAAGAATGAACTTACTTGGGATTGGACTTCATTAAGATAACAGCTTTCATCAGCATTATTAAGGACTTGGAGAGAGTGGACTTTTTCATCAGGTCATCTGTCAGTCTGATGAATTTGTCAGAGGCCTCATCATTCCCTGTATCAGTCTGAAAAAAAAAATCATTCCCATATCTACCTGTGTGCTATACATCAAATGATAACTGAAGTCACTTTGTGTTGATAATTATATTAAGAATATATTCTTTTTGTGTTTGTTGACCACATATATAACATTGTTCAAACGAAGCAGTTTGTCAGAAACCAACAATCTACTAGTCACATAGATATAGCAGGAATATCAGGATATTTGAAACTGAGACACTAATAGTGAAATTTACTAAGAACTGATGGTATATAATATAAGAGGGTCAATGAATAGTTTAAGTTTAATTATAATTAAGGCATATATACCCAATGCCAGAATCTGAGTGCATAAAGACTAGCTACCACAGTATCATATTTGTAATACAGTAAAACTCGATTATAACGAAGTCACTAGGACCTACGAAATTACTTAGCTATATTCGTCATTCGCTTTACCCTTATAAGGAATTCATTGAATTTATATAGCTGGGGATCCAAGATAACTTCCCTATATCCATTAATTCGCAATATCCGTGTGTGTACTATTACTGTATTCTAATTTTGCAATCAATATAAAAATAGTTTCTGAAATCTTGGAAAACCTACTAGTAGGGACTTGTATAACTTCAGAACTTGCTGCTCATCACTGTCAGGCCTAAAAAACAAACAGGTTTAATGCTGCATTACAATGATCATAAATCTATGAGTGTAATCGTTTATGTACTAGTTTAAGAAAGACTAATTTGGTAAAGTCTTCAGGTCCATAAGTACTTGTCTGACAACACTCACTGTGAATATCTTTCCAGAAGACATCTGACAAATTCTTTCATGTCATCATCAACAGATTCCTAAAAAGGATGAAATATAAAATATAAGAAATCACTTTACAGGAAAGATCCATACATTTATCTTAAAACTAAGTGTTCTGCCTACCTTCATTAAAAGAGCCATTCTTTTATCCTAATATTCAATTTTCTACTTACCTTTGTTATCTCTCTTGTAAGTAAACGAACAACAGTCAACTGTTTCTGACACCAGCCCTTTAACACATCAGGTATATCTGTAAAAAAAAAAATAGTGTAACAAACTATGATAGATGTAATGCTGAAGACTTTTGATTTATCTGCATATTTCTATATTTCCCCTCACCAGCTGTTGATATTAGCCATCTTAGATAGCTGGATTCTAGTTTGAGGAGAGCTGTCACTCTTTTTGTCTCCGCCTCCAGCACTGATTGGCTGTGGACTGCTGATACCAAGGTGCACCAGTTCTCCAACTTCTCTACAAATAGCAATAAATCAACCTTTCACAAAGGACAGCGACAACTTCGTCTTTTTATGGTAGTAGAAAGTTTTGGTGGTGTACAATTATTATTTGTGATTTCTTAAACAGTATACTGTAATGTCATTCTAACCTGGGTTTACTAGGATAGCCCTTTGTGCACTCTTTAGAGCTTCATTGTTTGTAGTTTTTGATTCATGCTTGCCATCAATTAATAGTCCCAGTGTTGCATCAGTCAGCAATTCCTAGAAAAATTGAATTAAATTGGCAAAAAAAATTATCAGTTTTTATCTGGGTTAAAGACAATTAACCCTGCTTCTAAAAATGTTTGGTTATCAAATGTTTATACAAATTTATTACAACTACCTGAGGATGATTTCATATAAATATCACTTATCATGGCTTTGAAGACACAAAGCTAAAAGATTTCACTATATATGCAGAAAAAGGAAATGCTGTCATGGCAACACCTCAACTGTAACCTTGACAACAGCCTCCACAGAATGTAACTGTCTGGAGATTTCAGAAGATTTATAAAGACACAATATATATTCTTATGTAAAAAGGCTTTGGCCAGCTACCCCTGGGGGTCATCCTCCTACATTACAGTGATGATTTCACATGAGTTTTATCTTTCCTGTCCCAGTGGTTCTCGAGAAGAAGATTTTTAAAGATTTTTCCTATATATTCCTATGTAAAACTTTAGGTATTTCCTGGAGTACAGCCCGGGTCAAGGTCATGTCACAGGTCATCAGTCCTAAGGCACACAGAGCTTCTAGACCATAGCGTGAAGATTTTTAAAGGGGGCTATATATTCCTATGTAAAACTGTAACAATCAAAAAATTCAAGAAATACAAACTGGAAAATATACACTCTAGTGCATTATACATTATTTTAACAACTGCTAGATATATTGCACAGAAAGCATGATATGCAAATAATAATAATGATGATTATATTTTACCACATCATAAAACTAACTGATTTTGCTCATTTCAATGTGAACAAAATGTGGATGGTGGAATTTTTGGTTATCAAATGTTTATTAAAATTTATTACAAGTAAGCTGTACCTGACACTCAGGCTTGAGACACAAAGCTGTCTGTGCACATACTGCAGAAGAAGAGGAAATGCTGTCATGGCAACTCCTTAACTGTAACCTTGACAACAGCCTCCACAGAGTGTAACTGTTTAGATTTCAAAAAAAAGGCTTTAATTATTCCAGCAGACAGTGATGAACCACTGTAAAGTAAGGGCTGGAGTTATCTCCTGCTTTAGGTATTTCTTAAAAAACAAAATTGCTCCTGACCAGTGAGGGTCAAGGTCATGTCACAGGTCATCAGTCCTAAGGCACACAGAGCTTCTAGACCATAGCGTGAGGGGGGCTGAAGCTGGGAACTGTAACAATCAAAAAATTCAAGAAATACTGGAAAATATAACTCTTGCAATAAACTTTTGAAAGATCATTTTTTTTAGAAACTGTAGATATATTGCACAGAAAGCATATATGCAAATAATAATAATAATGATGATTATATTTTACCACATCATAAAACTTTGATTTTACCATTTCAATGTTAACAAAATGTGGACTTTTGGAATAAACAAATGAATGTTCATTTTTTTTATTTTACCTTCATGATTGCAAGGAAATGTCTAGGGCTAGAATTGTGAAAGTTAATATAAAGATGTGATATGAGAATACAGAGTAACAATGATAAATATTAAAGGAATCAATCTAGAAAAAGTCGTACAACCTTTGAAAAAGAGAAGCCTTGGCTCCATCTACATCTCCAAACTTGTAGGCCACCATTCCTAGCACGGCATGGAGGTGTGAACTGTCTTTGTCTGTAGTGCTTATCTCAAGGGCTCGGTCATAGGCTGTCACAATCAAATCCACAAGCATTAAAAGTATTAAAACTGAAAAATTTTAAAGTTTTTAAAATGTTTCCAAAAAATATGTTGATGGGAGGAGGTTAAATAAAGTTTTCAGTTGGCAATATTACAGTTTGCAGCTAACTGTAAAGTTTCACGTTACATCACGATCTAGTTGACAGCTGTGCTGACCTTTCTTCTTATCCCTGATTGGTTTCTCATACAGCAGACTAAAAGTTTCCAGTTAGCTGCAAACTATAATATTTAGCATTAGGAGAGGGCAAACAAACAATTTTTTTAAAGATGGCCTGATTATGCAATTTTATGGAATCAAATAATCAATTAAAAGTACCATTCAATTCTAATGTTGATTTCATGCATTTGTGTAAAATACTAAACAGAATTTCGTCATTTAATCAGTTGTTTATCTAAGTCCCATTCAATTTTATTGTTGATTTAATGCCATTGTGTGAAACAATAAACAGAATTTCATCATTTAATCTGCAAGGTATACAAGTTAAATTATTCACTGAAAACAGAGTCAAAGATCAACAGACCTTGATAACTTTCTGTGTATTTCTGTGCCTTGTAGAAAGCCAGGCCCATGTAACATTGGTCTTCAAGGGAGTCCAGTTCTCCAAACTTGGCATACAGGAACAATGCAGCAGGGTACTCACCAAGCTTACTGAAACAGATAAGATCATATGTGTGAGGGTATTTACCATTAACTTACCATATACCACTAGTATTTACCATTAACTTACCATATACCACTGGTATTTACCATTAACTTACCATATACCACTAGTATTTACCATTAACTTACCATATACCACTAGTATTTACCATTAACTTACCATATACCACTAGTATTTACCATTAACTTACCATATACCACTAGTATTTACCATTAACTTACCATATACCACTAGTATTTACCATTAACTTACCATATACCACTGGTATTTACCATTAACTTACCATATACCACAAAATATCCCCAATATTTCAGTTTAACTTTGCATGTATATGTATTTTACTTGTGAATCAATTAATTTTGGTGAAGTTGATAGTATACCCACCAGAGTGTTCTGGCCAAGTTGATTTTTACCAAGTTCAAAAGTATGTCACTGGGATCCAATAGTTTGACTGCTCTGTAAATGAAAAAAAGTAAACTTGCAGCTGTGAAACATCACACTGAAGAATTTTGAAAAAAATTCTATCTTACAAAACAAGAAGGTAAGAACTACTACACTAAATAAAAATAATCCTTTTCAGGCCATACTTTTGGAATGCTTCCTTGGCTGTTTGGTAGAGTCCTTGCTGTTCTTTCAGCAGTCCATACATATTGTATGCTCCAGGGTTGGTCTTGACTAGATCTGGTAACAGCATATGCCATCGAATTCACAGTAAGTTATGTAAACATCAGGAATTTTAAACAATTGAGAACGGATAAAGCTTTTACTTATGGATAAAAACTTGTATATTGCATAGCCTCTATTGTATCTTACCTAGATATCTGACCAAAGCATCTGAGGCTGCAGGTACAGCCAACATTTGATGGATAGCATAGCGGTACATTTCTGTACTGTGTTTGGTTTCATCCTGGAGTAATGTACAGACCCAGTGTGCATACCCCAAAGACCCCTCCACCTGTGGCAAGATTTACTCTAAATGTCACATACATGCTACATAAATGAAAACGCGCAGATAGAATCAGATAACTATACATACATGGGGAGATAACTCAGTAGTGTGCCTAAACAGGTCCATGGCATCATCATCTCCTACAGTTTCTGCAATCATAGCCTATAAATAAATCAAAGTAACTACAAACTATGAAGTCATTAAGCTACATGTAGTTGACAGAAGAAAAATGGTGAATGCAAATTTTTGCCATTCAAAATGTGAAATAGAGCCACTTTTAACTACTATACAATAAAGTTTTGATACAGACCTGCCCAATCCAGCAGGACACATAGTTAGGATCTAAACTCTGGGCCACCTTGTAAGCCTCGTGTGCCAACTGAAATTACCAAGAAAGAAAAAAATATTACCTGGTAATGATTTTAATGAATCCAATGCACCACCACAGAATATGATTTACTATTACATATTAATTGTTAAACTATCATAAACAAAGGAGTGTAAATCAAAGCAATAAGATTGTTTACCTCAATGTTCCCACTTTTCAGATACAGTGTTGCTAAATTTGTCCAGGCCACCACATTCTGAAGGAAAATGAAAATTTCAATACTAAGACATAACTTTACTCTAAATGTTCATTCTATGTTGGTGGTTTTTCATTTTTATTTTTATGAATGAACAAATTTTGGGAATAAGAATAAATTGACTTACAGCAGATTCTGCTTGTATTGATTTAATGAAACAGTGCTGCCCTAGTGATGGCTTCTTCAAACCTGAAAAAAAGTAAAGTTTTATTTTAGACAAGTGTATTTTCAATAAACCTTCCCCTAACTCCTCTATTGTACTGTAGATACTCCTATTGACCTGAGTTACAGTAGACTAATCCCAGGGTATTCCAGATCATGTGACTGCCGGGATCCAGGGATAATCCCTTCCTTAGGGCTTCCACAGACTTCTGGGCCACACCCAGAGGCTCCTGACCAGTAGAGTGTAGGGTCTGCTGATAGAGGTTAAAGCCAAGGTCATACCACAGAGCTGCACAGTCAGGGAGTAACTTTAAAGCTCGGCCATAACACCTACAAAAACATAAAGCCTGAAAATGACTGCCATTGCCTTAAACTGTAAACTCATTAAAACCAAAGTTCCTCTCTAATGCCTTGTTCACACGACAAGTTTAATTCGCAGTAAATTAATGCAAAGTAAACTAACTAATGCGAATTAAATTGCGTTCACACGACAGCTAATGCGAAGTAAACTAATGTGAATTAAAATTCTACTTCTACGGCCAGGCGTCAGTAAGGCTATTACGACGTCATTTGCAAATCAAGTCACCTTATGCAGGAGCAAATGCAATTTGACCTAACGTTACTGTGTCTGTACACACATCTTAGCGATTAACACAATTTTTCTTAGTTTTTCAATCAAAAATAGCACAAGTACTTCAAGCTGACCACGGACATGTGGAATTTGACCTAATTTTGTCATTACGCATGCCTCAAAATTTAATTCGAATTAGCTTCGCTCAGCGTTCACACAGAGCTAATGTGAAACAATTTAATGCGCAGTAAACTAATTTGAATTAAACTAATTCGCATTAAATTCTCCGTGTGAACGCTAAGCGAAGCTAATTTGCAGTAACTTTACGTTTAATTCGAATTAAACTCTCCGTGAACAGGGCATAAATAGTGTCAGTATTCTAATTTTTGATTTCTCAATATACATGTAACTAAAAGAAAAATACATGTATTTATTGTGCACCAAGTTCTAGCGACTGTAGAAAATATTTACCTGGCCCCTAGCTCCAAAGTCTGCAGCAAATTGAGTTGGCATTCTTCTGTGGACTCTTTGGAATTGTACAGGTTTTCTGGTACATCAAATCTGCAAAAATTGAAGATTTCTTTGTTGGAACTCGTACCTCATACAATGGATAGAATTAGTACAGTTGAACATGGTTGGAGTGAACTCTTTTATAATGAATTCACCCTTTTAAACAATACCATGAATTTCTTTCCCAGAAGCTTAAAAATGTTTTTAGAAGTACTGGGTTTAGGAATTTATGGAATTTAATAAACTACCTTTATACTGAATCAAAATTATTCAACCATACTTCTTTCCTATATCAATAATTGACAGTATACAAAAATAAACATCATGATTAGATTATAAAAATGCCCTTTAAGGACAGACGAGACGTTCCTTAATACATGTAATAGATAAAATTTTTCAAGAGTTTGTCATTGAAGTATTGTTTCTTAAACATGTTTACTCACAAAAAATTGAGGTACCTTACCAGGCATTTCTGCAAGATACCAGGGGTAGTTTTTCTTATACATTTTTGTGTAATCCTTTTTTGGAAGAAAAATAATTTTCCAAGTTCAAATGTTTAAGTGTTTGGGTTTTTAAAAAACGTTTAGAAACTGGTTTAGAAATCAGAATATCATTAAAATTTTGAATATTTTTCATACATTACGAAGATATACAAAACAGATTTTGAGGAACGTCTCGTCTGACCTTAAATCAAGGCATTGTTCAAAACTTTTCATCGATTGACTATATTTTTACACTCAGTAACCACTTTTCCTGTTGGACGGTTATACTTTTGACTTAAAAAACATGGAGATAAATATCTCTTTTAAATCAAATCAAATATCCCCTGTAAAATATCCCACACAAGTCACATAAAATCTCCCTATTTTCAGCACGATTAACTGGGGATTACAGTCTTGTCTGTCTGTCAGCAATGTTTACATCTGACAGAAATTAATGTTAACTGATCATCTTGGGCAAAGATTTTCTATGAATACATATAGCTATAGTATTAAACAACATCACTAGAAAGTACGTAATTTATACAATGTACTATTAAACTACATTTTAATATATAACTCCTGTGAAATGTTTCTGACCTGAAGGTTTGAGTTGGGAGGGGATGGATGATGGTACAGGAATCCCCCATTAATTTCCACAAGCAGGACAAGTCAGGTCTGTGACATACCGCCCTACAAGAATGAAGTATTAAATGATAATGAATGTACCACATAGCCCACTTTCAACAGAAGTTGAATATTTAACACAATGTGACAAATTAACACAAATGCATGTGCTATATAAAAAAGAAATGTCAAAAAGTCTGCAAAGTTTATCATTTTATGTCGTTAAAAAAACATTTCTAGCCAAATAATAATTTTTATTAGGTTATAGGTAAAACTTTTTCGTGCAATTTTTTTTTTTTTAGCAAAGTAAACATGCAGCTATATGCTCTTATAAAAATAAGTTTAATACCTTGTCAGAAATTGAAGGGCATATTGACAGTTTTCTTTTGCTCGTCCATTGAAACCTTGTGAGAAATGATGCTTGGCCAGAAGTACATATGTCTCTCCTATACCTAAAATATACATGTAACATAGGGATCTCTTCTTATACATCACACTCTAGTTAAAATTTGATTGATAATGTTCAGCTCAAAGCTGGGAAAACAACAAAGAGCTCAATTTCTCCGATCATATCTTGTTTTTCTTAATTGCTGTCTGTGCTGACAGGATGAATTGAACATCCTACCTTTCAGAGCTGGCACATAATTCGGTTTGTCCTTCAGAATCAATCTGTATTCCTCTATAGCTTCCGTCAACATACTCAGTGTTTGTTTAATGCAGGCAATCCTAGATAATAATAAAAAATATTAATTAGTTCTATAACATAGTCTCCAATAATTTTTAGAAAAGAAAAACTGCTTCTTTTGTATTATGTATATATACTTACATGTAAAAACTGTAGACAGAATTTGGATTCAACTGAAAAAATAGCATCAAAATGTACAATATAAGCATGCTTTAAATATAGTATAAAATATAAAGTATATTTTTCATTGGTGAAATTTTAAAAGTAGAGAACTTTAGCAAAACATAAAACATACATTTTTCCTGTAATAAATGATGACAGTTATACATGTATTTAAATCCTACCTCTGATGCTCGGGTGAAAGCCTTAAGAGCCGCTGTATAACTTCCCCTCTTGTAGTAGGCCTCTGCTAAACATTCCCAGATATGTCTATCAAAAAAACAATACAATAAACAATAATGTGCCTAAAGCATGCATGTAGATGCCCTGAATAATTTAACACTAAGCATAAACTTCCTTGACCTTATTCCTGTAATTTATAGGTCTGTGAGTTACTCATGGGTCTCTATGTCTTTGAGATTATTATAGGTTTTTATGTCTTTAGGTCTACGAGTTACTTTAACTTTCAAATCTTTAGGTCTGTGCACGATAGTTACTTACAAGTCTTTATGTCTGTAAGTTACTTTCAGGTCTTAAGTTTTGTGAATTAACTTACGGGTCTTTAGGATCAGCCCTGAGTGCAGACTGAAAGCTGGATATGGCTACTGATGCTGTGTCATGTTTGACTTGGTAAAGGCCCAATCTAAGCCATGCCCACTTGCAGCTGTTAACAACAAATCATAAATATGAAAACAGGCCACAAATTGTTTATCAACAAAAACCAACAATTACTTGTAAAACTTACCATCCAGCACTGGCGTTTCCTGTCACAGACAAAAGTAGCTGGTACGCAGCTTCCTACAAAATAAACATTCTATCCACAATGTCTATTTCATTTACAAATGTATGAATGAAGACATCATAATTGTATTTCTTTTATCAAGACTGATACGTTTTCAAAGTCTATAACCTCTTCTCCAGTCTTGTTCATGATATCACAGAGTGCCTCCCCAGCACTGTCATTGCTCCTGTCGAGATCAAACGCCTTCTGAAAACAGCGCTTTGCCTTGACTTCATCTTTCTGTATCTCTGTGTAAAATCTTCCCAAGTACTCAAATGGCTCACTTTGGTAGGGATCAAGTTTAGCAGACTGTAGAAAAGAAAAGGAAATACTGTAATGTTACATGTATTATGCCCAGTTTTTCGTTTATCAGAAAATCGTTCAAATGTAGGGAGTGCATATACGTCAAGCATGAATATGGGATATAAATCAAAAGCGCCTTTTTTCTTGTTTTTCATAGCACTAATCAATCACATTCATTTTAAGCATTCTGGGGATTTTTTTCTTTTTTACACAAGATCTACTTTTGTTTTAGAAGGTTTCCTCCAACTTCAGGGGGATGGTGCATATTTTACAAATGCTGCATTAGGCATGTGACTATAAGATAGGTCATTCTGGCAATATTACATTTCTCTCTCTGGCAATATTACATTTCATATTAACTATATAACTTTTACCAAAAATTTTACATTAATAAATAAATATGACAAGGACTTGTGACCTTTAGAAGAGCAGTGTAGCAGGGCTGGAGGTTGTTCTGAAGTCTCTCTTTATCTAACCACAGGGACTTGGCATACATCAGGTGGAACTCACTGCTGGAGGTATCCTGCTTCATCAACTCACAAAATCTACAACACACCCAGCGGAAAGAAAATACAGATTTAAGTGAAAAGAGATTGTGAAGAAAAGGATCCACTTCCTGAACATGCAAATAGAAAGTTACAATTCCCATTTAATTGAAAATAATAATTAACAGCTACACAGAGCAGAATTCCTTTAATTATTATATACTTAGTTATTTAGGACACTCACATGGCTGCTGCTTTGGTGTATTCCGCCTTGTAGAACATGACATATCCCTCCAGGGCTGTTCTATCTGTGCTGCTTTCTAACTTACTGAGGATATCCTACAGAATATAGCTCAGTTTTGAATGATTTATCATGCAACTGTTATTCAAGAAATAGTTTGTGTTTCGAATCCATGGATGTTTTAGTATAACCTCTCAGAATGACTAATGTTGATTTGAAATATTTAATCCAAAGCTTTTGTATTTCAAACAAAATCTCAGCACTATTTGTTGTAGAATGACATACAAAAGTTGTCTGTGTGTTTATGAAAGTGTAATGATGACAAGTGACATGGAATTTTTACCTCAGTTTCTTCCAGTCTTTTCAAATTTAATAAAATGTGTCCTCTGACAATCAACACTTGTGGACTTGTATCCCCAGCACAAAGCTGAAATATAAAATTATGAATCAGTCATAAAACAAATATTTTTACAAATCTACATCACACTGAATTATTATTTCTTTATCAATGACAGATCTGCATTTGAACAATGTATTTCAAACATATTCCTTTTTTTATTAAATCATAAAAGAGTTTTATTTAACTCCTACATGTATATGATGCTACAAAGAGATAAAGAAATACCCCCCTCCCTGCACGATATCAGTTATACATTATAAGCTGTGTACATTTTGACTAGTTTTTTACCTCCTCTGTAATAGCCAGGGCCGACTGTAGAGAATCTGTCGTCCTTGTTTGTAGAAGGATTCGGACCTGTAGGAGTTTTACTTTTCTGGACACCACACCACTGGACACTGTGAGTTGTCTACTCTTCTTACCTAAATTTATGGCACCTGATCAATAGAGTCAAAATTCAAAAAATTTAAAATGCGAAAGGTTAAATTCGTATAACATTTTTTTCTCTTCAACAGTTACCAGTACACATTTACAGATAAACATTCTGGAAGAAATATACATACACTGCTTGATAGTTGATTCAGCATCTGCCAATTTGTGTAACAGAAAGTAGGTCAGAGACAGATAGTATGGTACACAGATGGTGGAGGACATCACTGGCAAAGCTGTCACAGAAATATACAATGTATAGCAGAAAGGTATCAGGGCACATCCTTATTAAGTAATATTTACATCCACTGAATAAAATCTAAGAAAAATCATCACTGCAAACACATGAAGCATATCAACATTTTTTAGTGGCCGTTCCATCAAGAAAACAAATATATTTGCATCATTATCACAATAATTAATATTTTTAACATAAAATGATAATTTAAAAATATAAATATAAACAATAAAATTTGTTTATTAAAAAAAGCTATTGCAGAAAAAATTTACATAACTCGCGCTTCTAAATCTAAAATCTAAATAAACATTGGCACAACATTTTATCAATTTTGGAGCTCGACATTAACGGTATACCAATGAAAAAAAATTACGGACAAGTGTGTCTGCACTTGCCCACTTGGACAAGTGATTTTTTTATGTAAAGAAGTCTTCAAATAATAATAAAACTAAAAAACTATTGAAAAGTTCATCGAATAAAACGGAAGCAGTACATAAACCTATATTTTGATCCCAATATCAATCGCTATGTAAGTTCACACTTTCCTTTAATTGCAGTCCTTGCAGCGTGGATCTTATGACTTTTGCGGGTTTGGAATATATTTGATTAATATTACAGATTCACTTTCGAACATTTATGTTGTTGTCAGGACAGGAAGTCTAGATAAAATTTTTTTTTATTTGTCTATGTATTATTAATAACAACACTAACAAATCAAGGACGTTTAATTTTTGATTTAAGTAATTGTTTTCAAGTTGACAGAATAAGATATTTATTGAAAAATTTACGGACAAGTGAAGTTGAGGTTCGGACAAGTAAATATCTTTGTCACTTGCCCAAATGGACAAGTAGGAAAAAAAGGTAATGTCGAGCCCTGCGTATTCTACAAATATTGAAATGTTACACAATACCATGAAATATAAATTCGGTACATTTGTTTTTAAAAAAATATTTTTTTCTTTTTTGTTTGGTTTCTTTTATCAATTTTGGAGGGGTATGAAAGAGGAAGTGTGTCTGTTTCCCAATTCAACTCTGTGAAATGCGTGAATAAAATATTCTTATCTAAAAACCTATCTTTCAGAGTAAACCTAGAGTTACCTTCCTTTAAGCAGTCCTTAGCCTGATGCAGCTCTTTGTTACACAGAGACTGGAATCCCTGGGCAGCTTTCAGTGTAACACTCTCACTGTCTAAATCTGAGAGCCGGGTCATGGTCTCTGACATGTGGGGATCCCATGTAGGCAAAAGGTCCTCAGAACCTAGGCAGTAATACAATACAATGATATACAATAAACATAGGCAGTAAATCAATACACTGATATACAATAGGGCCTCATAATCTAGAGAGTAATTCAATACTTTTACACTATATACAATAGGACCTTGGAAAATAGAAAGTAATACAATACAATGATATACAACAGGACCTCAGAACCTAAAAAGTTATACAATTTACATTCTACTTACACAAAGCTCTATCCATAAAAATCAGTAACTTCACTTCTAACGGATATTTCATAGAGGGATACTTTTCACAAAGCACTTGACAAGATTTCTCCAACAGTGAATGGTCTTTCTTCTACAAATCAAAAATACATGTAAAAAGAAACCATGGCAAATTTGGGGGGAAAAAAAACACGTAAATTTACCTTAATATTATTTTCACCTTTAAGAGGATCTATTTGCAATCCATTCTTGATACAGATCATTTCCCTTTATCCTATGTTGAGTATGGTTTAATATGGAGTTTCAAAATTTAAGGGTAAACAAGAACACACAAAGTTAGTGAAAAAGAATTTGTCTGCTCAAGTTTTTTTTCTAATCAATTATTCACTTGAATGTTGCATGAAATTCTATTATACAAATTCCTACCTTGAAAAGAATATCTATGTAGAAGGTGACAACACTTTCTTCAAGCTGTGCATCCAATTTCAACAGACTATCCATAATGTCAATAACCTATAATTCAGACAATATAGGGTTTTGAGATTTTAAATATTTTTAAAAAATACTGTATATTGCATGTACTCTATTAATGATAGAAAATTAATTTTGTTAGATAACTTGTCAATTATTATCAGAATACCAAATTTCTGTACTATTTATTGACATTGAAATTTGTTTCTCTTAAAACAGTGACCTTTTTCTCCATGTTAAAGAAGGATATTCTTTGTCTAAACAAAAATTCTACTCTTTAGCCTCAATTTGATTATAATACCATGTCTTCTTGCTGTGGTGTGAGGGATGACAACTTTAAGAACAATGATAACATGTCTGTATAGAGGCTACACTTCATAGAGTCCTCTGTCACCTCAGAACACAACTTCTCATAAAGTTCTAAACTCTAAAACAACAAAATCATAAGTACAGGTACCTTGTTACAAAAAGAAAATGAAAATAAAATGCAACTAAAAATTGTTTGGAGAAAACTACATGGGGATCTAATAGTGTATTGGAATTACTAAAGCATGTTATAGAAATAAGTCTTAGGCAATACCATGTCAATATTCCCCAGCTTTGTGTGTAAACCAGCAAGCTTCTTTGTCACTTCTGTTCTTTTGTTTTTGTCTCTAATAGAAACATTGATGTGAAATAAGAAGTAATCTACATGAAATCCAGAATAGAACATTTTTTAGCAAACTATGTCATTTGACTTACTTTTCAAAGAAACCTCTGAGTTTGGTGTACACTTCTACTAGTTCTTTATCATTCTCTGGTGAACTGTGCTTTTCATAAAAACCACTCAGTCCCTATATAAAAATGAAACATCTTAGATCAATTACCTTAAGCTTGGTATAGTGGCCATTTCCTGACTCTGGTTTGATAAGAATTCAAAGATACTTTCATAAAATTATATGTCTCTTTCAAGACTCTAAGTTCTAAGTTGGACCTTTCCACAAAAAAAATCTTAAAGTTTTTTGCAAAAGACTTTAACATAAAATTGTGTTAAATTTATAAAAAGTACTATGTAATTTGCTTTAATAAACTGCCAATTAATGAATTATACATGTGTTTTGGTTTTTGCAAATATTTTTACAATAAACTGGTTAAAAGAGGGTTAGGGTTTTCGCAAAATGATGACAAATTTTATATCTTAGAATCTTGAACAAAATCTTCTGAAAAGGAATAAATTAATGCCTTAGATTTCTCTTATGCTGGAAATTTATTGTAGATTTTTGTGAAAAGGTCCATTGGTTTGAAACCTCTTAATAAGTCCAATTTTATTAACAAGAGGGTACATTCAAGGCAAGTCTTAGTCTCTATATTATCATACGAGCGAGATCATTTAACTACCTATACAGTACAGTAGAGTACAAGTAAGACTGACCTGCCACGCCAGCGGTTGGTCTGGCTCCACCTCTGTGGCTCGTCGGTATGCCTTTACTGCCTGTTCTGACTGGTCCAGACCATCAGCTGCTACACCCACAAATACCAGGGCATTGTAGTTACTCTTATCCTCAGCTAAAATTCCCTGAAAATAATTGTTTGTTATGTGCTCCTTTATGACTTTAACGTTATGTAATATGTAATACAAGTATTGTTTTCAAAATAAGTCAAGATGAAATTTAAAGATTTTCAAGCAAGACTAACTTTGCAATGCTTCAAGGCCTCCTTGTATTCTTTGTTCTTTATACATTCTCTGGCATTTTTCAATGCCGTTTTGACATCTTTTGGATCCATGGCAAAAACTGAAAAAGAATGTTGTCTTTTGTTGGTAGTTGGTACAGAATTTTGATTAATTATTACAGATTGTAATGATCAATTTATACGATAAATCCTTAATCCTCAAGGCTAATTATCTTGGCTCCCCATTCCTCTTATTGAATACAGTTATATATTTTTAAATGTTTTAATGAAATGAATTTATAACAATTAAATTAATTTCAACTTCTAAAAGTGAAAGTAACTTACCGATTTATTTTTTGTAAATTTGTTAGAATGTCGTGCCCGATCAAAATCAGCGTGAGTCTGGCTCTCTCTGAACCCGAAACGAAAAGCGTACGACTCTGGCAAACTTCTTTTAAATCGTGTTAATTAGAATTACATATTAGATAGAGAAAAAAGTTTGATTTAAGATCTATAACTTTTATTTTAAATTAAAAGGGGATACCCTCTTACGGCCTTTATAAAATACAGTGGACCTCAAGTTTTTCATTGGAAAAAAAAATCCTGATCGAGTGAACTCATGTACTAAATGGAAAAGGTGAATAGATGTAAATTCAAGATCTAATTTGTTTAGTCTTCTTTCTTTGGATTCTGATTTCCACCAACTAGCTTGGTTCAACTCCCCAAAATTATTTCTGAGCCCGAATGTATTCATCTTCAACGCCAAACCAGGTTATATACAGCAGCTGTATATAGAAATTAACCAATATAGTTATTGACCAATCAGAGGCTAGAATACAAACAGAATTAAATTATTTCAACATACCCATGGTATTCCGTCGAATTTTTGGTGTGTTAAGAACAAACATATACGATGTAAAAAGGAGGCAGGAAAAGATCAAACATTTAGAAAGAGGATGTATAAAGTACAGGCCCTTCATTCGTTTTAGGAAGACCATTCTATCTTAATTCCAGTTTCAATAGGAAGTTTAGTACACTGTAGTTACAAATGTACATAAGCTAGCTGCAATAATGTAGCCCCCCTTTTTTGGGGGGGGGGGGGGTCAGATTAAAAAAAAATCGGAGAGGGCTACATTATTGCAGGTAACGTACACCTAAATCATGGGCCCGTTTTACAAAAGAACTTACGACTAAGATAAAAATTTAATTCTGCTTATTACTTTTCATTTATCATTAATTTGGATATATGGTTTTAATATTTTGAAAATGAATTTGATAAGATATTATATGCCAGAAAATTTTAAAAGAATAATTTATTTTCAATTTCTTACAATGAACTTAAGTTTTTTTTTTTTCAATTTAGTCGTAGATTGTTTTTTTTTCCTGTAAAACGGGCTCCTGCAAAGCAGAGTTGGACATTTTTGAGGCAAAAAAGTTGAAGAAATATGTTTCTTCGATTATTTGAATATGTCTTTAATCCATTATATGTATTTCAATATAAAAAAATATTATTAATAATTAAAAAAATAAAATAAAAATTTCGCAACGATTTCATACTTCTATCAGAGTAACATTTATTTGAACACACGCATGCTTGTTGAGAAGAATGAACATGGCCGTATAACGTTTAAAAAAGAAATCTGTAACTTAATAAGTCTATTCAACGCATGCACGACAAATGTAACATGAGACAAAGGCACACCGTAGAACAGATATTTAATCTATCCTTAGAATTCATCCAATCTCAGGATAAGAAAGTTTTATTCTTTCAAAAAACCCTTACCCTATTTCCTGATTATTTTATCTTCACCACTTATCGAAGCATTGTTTTCCCCCTATCCATTAAAGTCACCCCCAATTATTCACTTTTGTTTTATGTCAATTGTCTTAATCAGATTTTTTTTCTCACAACTTTTTTTATGTTGAGGTTCATAAATTCTTAAGAGTAAAATTTAAACCACACCACATATAGGAATGTGTGATTATTAAAATGTTGTTAATAAATAAACTGTAGTGAAATGGAATTAAAAAATAACTTCGAACATCATGGATAAATTCCAAAAGCAAGGATGTATACAAAAAGCAAGGTAATCTCTCTCTCTCTCTCGTTTTCAAGTATAATTATACATGTATTGTCTATTATCTAGTTATGCGTGAACACGTGATATACAGTGAATTAAAGGAAGTTAATGACGAATTATTCCCTTATCTCATTGTTTTTCATAGATAAAGAAAATTCTATGTATTGTACAACTTCCTAGCATGGGAACATTTTCCCTTTACATTTCTTGTTTAAATTGTTGTGTTTAAAATGTTAATATTCCCGTCGATTCAATTTCATAATAGACCTTAATTTACATGGCACTTAAACAAAGTACTCACATTACAAAAAAAGTCTTGCAATACTTTAAAACAAAAAAAGTTTGTAATTAAATCAGATTAAAAAACGATGTGAACAGGATTTGCCCCTTGTCTGTTTATCTGTCTGTTGTACGTATGTCTGGTCGGGGGACTGCTGGTGACCCTACTTGAGACTGTACTATAAATGAGTCACGCGAGATTTAACCGACAAGATTAACCCGATAGTGTTCATATGAAAAATCCATAGTAATCCACTTTTCAGAAATGATTTTTGCAAGTTAATTCTATAATCCATTTTTTAAACACTAAAGAAATATAAAATCTATAATATTTACAAGATCATCTTTCTTGGACAACTGATTCAAAATCACTAACTTTTAGTGTAACATTAAAATCAGTCAGAAGAATTTTCAAATAAGAATATGTTACTTTTTGCATTTCCTTTATTCAATTTTATAGATAAATAATGCACACAGAAGCAGTATTACGAGGACGTTTGAAGGCCTTTTCAGAATTGATATTTTTCAAACGTAACATAAATCAGAGTTATTAATTATTCCTAAATTTCATTATCCCCTATAATCTATCATATTTGACAAGAGTTAAAGTCTATTTATAAAAAAAATGATAAAGCACTTCTAATTTTACCAACAATACCTCTGTTTCTTTATTAAACAGTAGCAATTAACAATAAGGCGTGAGATAAATAAATTAAATATAAAAATCACGATTCTTTTTATGAATGTCCCCAACACTCTGAAAACTTCATGTAAAAAGTTAACACCCATCTAAGTGTATTACACAAGCATTTCGAAAAAAAATCTCATTAGACAACCTTTGCATTTTCGTAAATCATAACAATTAACCATTTCGTAATGGAGAGAGCGACAGAAACATATAAAGCTCAAATGATCCGTTAAGCATGAAAAGAACTAAAATTTAAAAAAAGTTGCGACCCCCTCCTTCTCTCTCTGTGGTGGTTGTTGTTTGGGGGGGGGGGTGTTATAAAATGGGATAACTTTTATGCATACTTATCTTTTAGTAATAATTTTCAAACTTTTCTTTCAACATGGTTTCTAGATTTGTAACAAAGTTAAATCTATAAGCATGATCAGTCGACATATCAAAGTGCTATCTTTGACTGCCATCTTACCGAGGGATTCTTCACCAGGTATGACCCTTACCTAGATGGGTATCGCAGATTTATTCTTTCCTTCTCTAAAAGCCATCATTAGACACGAATTATGTAATTTTCAAATCAATTATAGATATAATATGCATACTTTTTAAAAATTCAAAGTTATGGACACCGAACACCCATGGTGAACGAAAACTATGTCAGGCAATGCAAACATAAAAATCGCAAAACTTGGGAAATCAGCCGATTTCGTGACGACCTCGCCAACTGAACAATTGATTTCATTTATAGAGCCATCATTAACTTTACAGTGACTGCGCATTGCCCCATTTACAACATTTCTCTACCTCAAAAAGCTGTCGAGAGCTCCACAAAAAATAAGTCATTATGAAAATCATTGCATAAAGAAGAATTGTTTCCTAATTTCACAATCCTCTTTTCCCCTCTGTTGCGGTTTTTGGGAGGGTCTTTTGTTGTGTGGTGAGGATGGCCGATTTGTGGATCGCTGGTGATCTTGTTAGGGAGATTTCTACATTGTAAAGAGATCTTCACAAGCGCATTACAAGAATTTCTCAACCTTTAACAATTGTTATCACGGGAAACAAAACGTTACCCACCATTAATTGAGCTTTAAAAAAGAATGCATAACTGTAGAAGAATGTATTTAGGTTTAAAAATCATTATTTTGTTGGAAAAATAACTTCAACAAGAAATGTCTAGAGCAGGAAAACTCATTTATGAGAGTGATTATTTTTTCACATTTTGCTTGTTCGATTATAAAACACGATCAAATCTATTTGATTGTTTACGTATCTACATTGACATGGTCTTTAATCTACTTTTTAGCTAGATCTTAATCCGTTATCCTTAATCTGCCGGTCACTACTGCCTTTATTCCGGGATCAGAAGGACCGCTGTCGGTAGGCCTGTACACCAATACATTCTGTTCCCATAGGATGGTCACATTTGGAGGTTTTATACAGGTGTGAATTCAGGATTTTCTAAATGATAGAAACAAAAATTTCCGCAGATTTTCATTCTTCTGGCACCTGAAAAAGGTAAGACTTTCCCTTTTCATATATTTAATATATTTTGACATTAGTTTGAGCATGATTAAAAAAGTTTTTCTCATTTAAGAAATCTTTAGACGATCCTTGAAGTTAAGATAATGGTTTCTAGATTAATTGCTTTTGAGAGAGAGAGAGAGAGAGAGAGAGAGAGAGAGAGAGAGATGTAAAGCATGTTTCTGAAAGTTAAATCCACTGTGCCTCGGCAAAAATAAAAAAAATTACATGTATAAACTGAACTTATTTCTTGAAATAAACTCAAAAGGCAGAAGTTTAATAATTTCCATAGTTTCTCCTAATTTTGTTCTCTTTAATTTGAGAAAAAATAATTTCAGTTTACAGTTGACCATATAAATGTAGATATATTTATATTATGAAGCATGCATATAGAGAATACTATAAAATTATAATGCCATCAATATCAGGATCGACATGTCAGACTTGAACATCTGTATGATGATAAATTGTGTTTTACTTTTTGATACACTATAGTTATTATATGCATATGTAAATACCTTCTCTCTGGCACATGGCAAAAAGAGTACTAGTATTAATTATTTTATTCTAAATGTGAACATAACACAAGTGTATCGAATTTTGAAAAGTGAAATGTAAAGTTGGTCCTGATATAAAATACAAGGACAACATGTTTAAAAAAGTCCATTAACCATAGGCTTGGAAGATAATATAAAGGCTTTGTCGTTTGCATTGTGAATTCAGTTTATTGTAGAAACCAACCAATTAGTTTTAAGAGCATTAATTTGAAATGGGTCAAGTAATGCATCTTATTCATTCATTATTATAATTATTTTTTATCTGAAAAGCTCATCAGTTTATAATTATTAAGAACTCTTTATGAAATACGTGTGACGAAGAGTCTGAGCGTTCGTCAATGCTTTATTTACCTAAACTTATGTTGTGATCTTCATAATATAGAAGACGAATTATCATTTCATTTTGAAATACTCTTTGTATAATGATCTAACAAAGATTTTTTTTTTGAAAAAGTACCATTATACTGTAGGCTTATTGTCCTTAAATTAATTCAATTGCAAAGTACTAATATGTAACTTTTATGGATAGTCTTCCATTTATCTATTTCCTGTTGTCTGTTAATTGATGTTCAAAAATGAATGCTTTCCAAATTATAAAACCTCCTTTAACTTTGTATTGGTAAGAAATTCTGAAAAAATTCTGCTGATATTTCTGAAACACCGAGTATTTCACCATCAATGTAGGATTATGTGGCACAAAATATTAAGAAGGAAGAGGAATTCAGGTGAAGGATAGAGTTTCTAGGCCAAGTAAACCCAAGAAGGCTTTCATATTCATCGTGGGTTTATTCCTAACTTTACCCGCTCTTTCCTTCTGCTGGATTACTTTAAATTTCCTTTTTATACTTGATATTTTGTTCCACGTGAATCAATTGTAGGCAATGGAGTACTCAGTATTTCAGAAGTATTTGCCAGTTTTACAAATTTGAGATACTATAAATGTCTACAAAAGGCTTTGGTTTCTCAAAAGCACTCATTTTGAACATCTACACTTGACCGCAAATATACAAAGAAACAGTAGTTTTTCATGAAAACCGCGTATGAAAGAAGAAATTATCTAGTAATTATCCTTTGATTAAAACTACTTATATTAAACTTTTTGAAATATTTTGAAAAAAAGAACATTTTTATTGTATTATTGCTACGTCTGTATACATATTCTGAAATCAGATACGATTATAAGAAGTGATCTACTTGTATATTAACCCTGTAGATTAACATGTAAACTTGAACAGCAGTTTAGCAGTCTGTATAACTCTTTTTGCATTTATCGGTATAATCTTATCCAACCTTCCTTAAAAATGGTTAAAAATTGAATGACGATTGAAAAGCTTTAAAGAATAATAACCACTTCTTAAGGAAGATTATTCCCCTCAAGCAGGTCTTTGCAATTGTAACATCAGTTCTGGCACATTTTGCAATTTGTCATCTCTATATATGAAAGTATTTTAAATAATTATATCAATATTAATGGACTGATTTTAAATTCCAAGTAGAGATGACATGCATTGATAGCATATCATTTAAACAGTATAAGTAGATGTAATCTGCCTGATAGGTGATACAGGTATCTATTTCATATTTAATATTGAGAAAAGATACATCTTGTACCGCCTTAAACTGACCATTATTAAAATGAAAACACGGATCTGCAAATACAAGAAAATAAATCGCAGAAACACTTCATTACATAAACAATGCA